GACCGTTTGGTTTGGAAACTGCTGCTGAGTGTCCTGAAATGGTACTAATTGTGAGCATTGGCTGAATGTACGTCGATATCATTCTGATAAAAGCAAGCAAAAAAGACTGTGCCGAATGACAATCTCGCGGGAACCAGGAGAGCGGCAGGCAAAAGCTTGGCGTCAGCTAGCCGGCGTTCCTGGCTCTGCCGAGAGAGGTCTTTTTGGCATAGACCTCCTTATTCACCCCTTTTTTGGAAGTGGCAACGAAAAATAGCTTGGGATTAGTACTATTTACTGCTACAAGAAGCGACACCTTTGGTTTATTCCACCTATGATTAGTAGGGGTTGTGGCACCCCAAGTGGGCTTACCGATTCTTCCCAAGCCCGCGCGCGCGTGGTCTGTCCACACAAATGGAGCCAGCTTCAAACCGCATCCAATTCAAGCTCGTACTCGGCTTTGCATCTTCTGAAGTACAAGCATCAAAAAAGCACATCGGTTTGATGTGGCAAAGAAGAACCCTGAGCACAGTTTGGCTGGCGCGTCGGTAGCGGCCGTCATGCCAAATAGCAATCACTTGGACGCACTCTGAGCCTTAGTACTATTTTTTGGTACTTTTCTCGTCTGCCATCTTTTAGCTAGCAAACGGAGAGTCACTGTTAAAGTTTAGCTTCTTGATTGTAAAGGCGCTTTCTTGATGTCGACGCCACTACGAAAAAGTGCGTTCCCACGGCGTGATTTGAGAGTCGGGGCGCGCGTTGAGCCAAGCCGAAATTATGCATGGAAACAACTTGGATGGGTGGCGAGGACAATAATCATGCTGGCGTTGGAGCATCGCCAGACATTCTTTGAAAGTACGGGAACTTGGAGCGACTAATGGGAGTTTTATTGGCTTTTCCCAGCTGGCGCGGCAGCGCCGCCATATAATCAAACCGCAACGGCATCAGAGTTCTACTGCCTTTAACAGGAATGCCCAAAACCTGGAGGCCCTTCTGTGCAAGTGGGTTGCCGCTGCATGCATGGCCTGAAGTGAATCTATGCCTACTTTTTCCTTCAAAACTGGTCTTATTCGTATGACTGGGTCCCTCACATCCGGACATTATTCGTAACCCTTCCGTGCGGTAGCACTGCGGCGCGGGTAAGCTTTGGGCTTTCTTAATATCATTGCAGCTCGGTCATATGAGAGAAACCCGATCTTAATTAGAATCTTTGTTCTCGATCGAAGTCTTGCAGAAACAATGTCACATCGTGAAGTGGAAGCACTGGCGAGGAGGACGCTTTGCGTTGGCTTCGCAAGAAGTCACTCTGCTTTTGCGTAAGAACCGCTGAGCCACAAAGTATAACATAACCTCCACCGATGTGGGCCGATTGAGACTCCACCATAGTTTCTAGTCAGGTCCATATTTCAAAGGTCCTTTGTAATCGGCAAAAGGATTACACTTGTAATCATGGTGGTAAATGAATGTTCGTAGATCACGGGAGTCTCGGAAATCGGTTTTCCCTTGGCTGTTGACATCTCCTTTCCGCAACGTCTCAGAAGCGTTGCGGAAGCGCAACGTCTCAGAAGCGACGGTTGCGGAAGCTTGTTAACGGAACTGAAACCAGTTATCGAACCAGGCTGTCACCATGTCAAATTCTGGTTGCTGACCGATTCCGTTCATTCGACGCTTGAGAGGCTACTAACCGCTCATCAGCGGCGACCAGCTTTGACTGTCAAGAACTCCCTGTGCGTGAAGTTCGACTTTCCTCATATATGCGCGCAGGACCGCCGCACCGCCTTTATAAGTTATGTTTCGAATTATTTTCAATCAACTTGTTCTTCCGGGTGCTTAGACGAGCTTTGGCGGAACCCGGACGGTATCCGGACGGTGTCGGAAGGTCTGCGAAGGGACTCAGAGGCAGTCCGGGCACATTCGGACAAACTTCAGGCGGTCGCGCGCGGACAGCTTTTGGACGGTTCTGGCGGACACTTGGCGAAGTCAGCGGCGTGTTAGATGAGCTCCGGAGAATTCTCGCGTCCGAACGAAACCCGGACGGTTTTGGACAACCTTCGAACAATCCAGACGGATTGGTCGATTTGTGGGCGCGGGCTGCCACGACAGCGGCCAGCCTGAGCTTTCCATTTGCACGACGCCCTTGGTGCAAGAATCCGGGGCACCACCGTGATCAACCATAGATTTAGCGGCCATCTTTAATGTGCGCCACACAAAGTGCTAAGCGAGGCGTGCGCTGTCCCAAGGTTCTGAGAACTGGCGAAGAGTCTGGGCCGAATATGCCACGGGTAAATTTGAACGTGTGGCATATTCGCTATTGCGAGCGAATGTGAACTTCGAGGCACGTGACGTGTCACTAACTTTGAGCATCAACGCAGTCATACTTGACCATGTTGATGCGATTGATAGTGACAAGAACAGCCCTGAGTGAATTTGAGCGAGCAAAACAGCTCTGAAACGTGAATGTGAAGACGAAGCCTCTCATTTCCAAGCCTCTGCCTCCAAATCCTGCGTTGCCAACGCAAGGCAACGCTTCTCAAGCTAGTCTCCTCTTTCGAGCTTTTCCCCCTTACCCATCCCGCTTGCACGTGCACGTGCACGCCTTGCTTACGCTTTGCTCCCCTAGCACAGTCAGATGTCAGAAATTGCTGCGCAATACTGCACCCAACCTCAGAACTTCTCCATATCTGAAACATTTCATTGAAATAGTTAAGCTAGCGCCACGCAAAACAGCGAACACTCGAACGCGAGTGAAGGACGAAGTCCGCTCTTCGGACAAGTTCTCAAAAGCCCAGAAATCAAGGCACGTGTTTGTGCGAGCAAGAGCTTAAGACGCGCGAGCTTGATGATCTCTTAGCTTGGCAAATGCGCGTGGCCGGTTCTGCGGCGGCGGTCTTCGGTAGCCGGGAGGACTCCGGATACCGGCCGTACCTTCAAAACGCCGAGCGAATTCAGCGCGAGTTTTCCCAATGTCCCAGTCCACCGAAGTCGCGGCTTCAATCAATTCGGGGCTGTCCAACTTCAGCAGACAGATTTTTCTACTTTTAGGATTGGTCCGTTTTGTGCTTTAACCAGTGCTCGTATAGCTGCTTCTGCTGACAACGTCTCGAGGGCTTGGCGAGAAGGACGTTTTGCTCTGGGTTCTGTCAGGGAGCCATATTTGGCTTTTGTAGCGTGCACGGCTGACTCGCCAACCTACCTGCATGTTAGCAGCGACCTTTTGTCCATGTGGGCTGCTTGCTTAGTCCGCGGTGGATCAAATCCTTTGTTGTAGCCGCTTTAGCTTGGCCGACGAGGGCGTTTTAAAGTACCTGAGCTCGCTGGTCACTCTAAGATCTTCTCAGGACTCCTCTTGAGAAGATATCCGTCTAATCGTCTACTTTCTCTTTTCAAACCGCGGCGGAAGCTCAGCCGCAGAGCGTTGGAAAATGGCTTTGGCTGCTAACGAGGCTTGGTAACCAGGATTGATCCTGGATTTGCAAATCAGGCCTGGCCATTGAATGTATGATCAACTTCTAAGCAGCTCTGAAATGTCCATTCTTTTTGGTTGCAGAAGTCCCTGTCCGAAGGTCCCTTGATGGTTTCTTTGCAGTGATTATCCGCAGCGCCCCCGTCACCGCCATTGCTTAAACGTCAAAGAAGTTTCCTACGTTCCGAACGAGTTCGAATGAGAAGAATAAGAACCTCAATGGTGCTGGGCGACCTTTTGACGGGAGCGGACAATGCTCCGCTCAGTCGGACGGAACGCGGACGGTGTGAGACAGGCTTCGGACGGGTCCGGCCGGACTGTGCGCGCTGTCGGACAAATGTGGAACGTGTCGGAAATGCTAGCTGCGGACAAGACTCACAGAAAAATTGGCGCACGGACGAAACCTGAACGAATCTGGACGGGCTTGGACAATTTCGGACGGGATCGGAAGGAGTCCGAACGCATTGGAACGGATTCCGGACGCTGCTGGCGGGTTGCTGGAGAACTTGCGGACGGCCGGTCCGAGCGGACATCGAACGCGTTGGGAAGGCCATGTGCGCGCCGCTTTGCGACCGCTAGCGGCGCGAACGTCCGATCCAAGACGGATGCGGGGTCGCGTGCGCGCGCGCACGCGCACACGAACCTGAAGCGCGAACAACTAGAGGTGGCGGCCCGGGGGGCGGGAGCTTGGCGCGCGCGCCATTGAATTAACAAGGTGATAGCGCGGCGCGCGCGCGGTTCGGAAACTTGAAAACAATGGCGGGGTATAGAGAAAGTTTTGGGATGCCGGCTTCGTACATGTGTTTGAACACGTCCACGCTACAGCTGCCCAGGCAGTCCCTGCGCAGGTTAGAAAATCGTGACGAATATCCAGCTTCAAGGCCCTTGCATCCCTAATCCGGTGTGCAAGTTGGAGCGCCCATGTCTAGGATATGTATGATGAGTGTATACAGGCAAACGTTTAGAGCGTCCCCTAAACGGACAAGCTAGTGTCCGAAAACGAGTCCGAGCTGAGGCGCGAGCCCGATCATGGCCGGGCAGGTGCGCGAGGACTCGAGATTTGAGGGCTTTGATGCATGAGCGCGCTCCGACACACATTCCGAATGAAGTTCATGATCAGAGTTCGTCCTCTGGCAATGATGCCGGACGCGACGAGAGGATGCATGTGTCAGGTTGAGGTCGGGCCGGTGGCCCAGCATGGATGAAACGTTGGAGCAGCGTAGATATGACCGGACAGCGGTCCGCAGCTAGGCCGCCCAGGTGCACTAATGTCTGGAATTGAAGACACGCAAAACTTTCATCTATGTATAGCTAGCTACATTTGGACTCGTTATGCAGCACGATGATGCACAATTTTATAATACTTCGACATGCACATCGCACAGTGCTCACATGTATACTGGGAATGACCTGACATTCAGGTTTCTCCTCTGTCAAGGATCGGATCCTCAGTGAATCCGGTGCAAGCGGCGGCTTGAGCCTGGCGGTTGTGATGGTAATGCATATGCATGAATCAAACTACACGGTTCTCGAGCTGAAACATCAGCATGTACACCATTGGCACTCACTCTCGTAGCTAGACCTGGTACAATGTGTCCAGGTGTATAGAAATGTGGTCCAATATGCCATCCAACATAAGCAACACTAGCCTAGTCAAAAGCGCTTTCAAAAACAACCTTTGACGGATGAGCAGCGTCTACCTCAACACATGAGCCGCGTTTTTCCTAAGGGCGGTATTTTACCAAGATGAAACCTTCGTTTCAATGGTCAACGCGTGTCTAGATCAGGCCTGCACATAATCGTCCGATGGTGTAGCGAATGGCTGCCAAAGCTCCTCACGGCTAAGGGCTCTTTTGCGGGTTCTTGATGACGATAGTTGCCGCCTGCAGAGTGAGAGACATCAATAAGCACCATCTAAGAAGCAATTCATGCGACGAACGTCGAAGCAAGTGATTCGACGAACAGATCCAGACCTCAGGATTCAGAATCTGCGAAGAGAGCCAGGTCAGCGCGAAATGCATCACATTTTGGAGAGGGCAAATAAAGGCCCCCAATCATTGCTTTGACGGTGTGGGCAGCGGATTACAGATATTCGGGCCCCTCAACTTCGCACACAAGATGTGGTTCTCAATGAGGTGTCCAAGATTTGGAACAAGCAGAGAGTAAGGTGCATCGTCGAACTCCGGGAAGTTCGCACCTAGACTGGCCCTTCATTATCTTGGGTGCGAGTTTTAATTCGGGGCCCGAGATATGGCAACGAGTTTTCTCCTGGCTGGTGGGCTGGTGACCAACATAAAGGGGCCTTCCCTAGGTAGTCTTGTCCGACCTACTTAGTGCTGAGCTCTTTCCTGCGGCTTCTGAAACAAGCTACTCGAGCTCATCAACTCGTTTTGTGTATGCAGAATAAACCTCTTCTCTTTAGACGTTGAAGGAGCGGAGGCTTTCGTACTCCGAAAGACACGACTGGTCCAAACCATCGGTGCAAGTGTTGATGCTTGAGCCCCGCCGCACGCTCGCACCCGAAGAGCACGCGTCAGAGACGGGACCAAACAGGGGAGTTGGACGGCCGTACCTCTTCCCCAAAGAAAAGCGTATCTCCGTCGCTCAACTTGTATTGGGTCCCGGGTCGCAGCCGAAAGCTGGCAAAAGCACAATCAGCGACTCGTCAGCAACTGCCCATAGAATGAAAGGATGCACTTCATGGTTACCCCTAAACGGTCTTATGGCTGCTAAGGATACCTGCAACGATCTCAAAGTTCATGCATTGCCCCGCAGAAGAAAAGAGACGATCACGTGCAATGATGACGGCTTTTGGGTTTTGCAGTTTCAAGAATTTTCGCTTTCGCTTTCAGAATTTTCATTTTCCGGTTTCAGGCTTTTAGGGTCCGAGGTTGAAACAAGACAGAGATCATGACTGTACTCAGGCTGGAGTTGCTATTGGTGGCAATTGGTGAAAGTGAAATGTCCTTTGGCAAACTTGCCATGCCCATGCTGCGCTCACAGGACTCGCTTCAAATTCGGAAAGTGGATGCTCGAAGCAAGGTGAAAAGCAGGATTGTCTTCCAGTCCTGAATGGATAGATTTTTCCGCTTCGAGCACCTCCGCAGGTAGCGTGACCAGTCCAGACGGCCGACCCCCAGTCGCGAAGGCCGGATGACGGGAAAGTTTGCACTTTTTGAATAGGTCATCGAATCCGAAATAGCCTTGACTTGGCCAACGCCTCTCCAATGCTCTGGTACGATTGAGTGTCCTCATCAAAATCAGTTGCGGCCCACATTGCACTGCCCCCAAGCGCTTAGATATCCTTATCACTGAGTTCGACAGAGCTTCCTGTGAGTGCGCTAACAAAAGGTCGGCTCTGTCGCAGGAGGTTCTGGTTGTTAACCATGGATGGTTAGGGGCTGATTATGGTTGGTCAGAGAATGGTCATATGTCCAGTGACAAGTCTTGGGCTTTAACCAGCGCCGGAAAAAGGTTAAAGCCCGGGTTATCTGTCCAATACCCTGAGACTCAGTCTGCTAATCAGCCTGGTTAGAAGCCAAATCTTGCTTTGTGTGACGAGAACCAGATCTTCACCAAACCGCCAGCCTTGGGAAAAGCCTCGATGCACAGCGCGCCACTTCCCGGATACGACCAAAGCTTTGACGGACTCACTTGTTGTTGCGACGCACACCGTTGGTGCTCTTGAGATCTACCACGAAATACGCGCGCACATACTCGCCGTAAGACATGACCTCCTTGGCAAAGATCTTGGCGTGCACCCCCGACACCTGCGCAACGAGATGTGGATTACGGGATTGTTCAGTATCACGTATCATTATGCGTGATACGTTCACCAGTATCAGGATCGACGCAATCCCCAGTGGTTAACAGCCTTTCGCCCCTCAGTGGTTAACAGCCCTTCGCCCCTCAGAGTGTTACACTCGTTCGCAAGTCGTAATGGATCAGTGCGGCTTTCCGAATTGGAAGTTGTCATGGACCCATGGCATCTGATTTGATGTCTAGGTCCGCTGCAAATGGCGGAAGAGGGCCGCCCAATATCTAACCCGGCTGGGCTAGCTCCGTAACTATAAGCCATCTCGCACAGTTCAGAAAAGGGTGGCCAACGCTGGGCACCACTTTTACAAATCACATGCTCTACTTCGACTATTCACTGCTGTATGACTGCTTCGCTCGTTCTTACACTGAGTCTGCCGAGGAAACATTATGTCTGGTCAGTGAGTAGCACGAGCTCTCCGTGCCAACTCTCAGGTATGGACTCCTGTGATCGCAGTATCTGAAATGAGGCGCACGAGTCTGAGACCCTTTGACCTTTCGTGGCGCTCTGCTTTTTCTCGGCTGCCGCCCTAAGACTCGTGACGCGCCTTTTGTCATACGAAGATCAAAAGACAGAACCCCACTGTCAGACGGCCAAGAGTGGCAGTCCCTGCATCACATCAAACCACGAAACTTTCTTCACCGGCCAATTGATGCAAGAGGCGAGCCTCACCGTTGGATAATCCAGTTTGACCGGAACCATGTTCTCCGCATTGCCGACCTCAGCACCAATGATGAGCGGCGTCTTGCCGATGCTGATCGGGGGCTCCTTTCCATCGTTCCGGACGAGCGTCCACACGGGTCCGTACGGCGCCAGCCCCAGCGCGCGTTTGGTGGCCTCCCGCTCCTTGATCCACCTGGCAGGGAGTGACGTCAGCAGCTTGCGTCAGCAGATATTAAGGGGACTCTCCATTCGGTTCCCGCTCCTTGATCCACCTGGCAGGGGAGTGACGTCTGCGGCTCCGTCAGCAGATATCAAGGGGACCCTCCGTTCGATTCCCGCTCCTTGATCCACCTGACAGCGGGTAACGTCAGCAGCTTGTTTCAGCAGATATGAAGGGGAACCTCCATTCGGTTTCGGCTCCTGGACGCACTCGATAGGGAGTGACGTCAGCAGCCGGCATCAGAACGCTGTAAAGTAGACGCTTTGTTGGTTCAATAGGATTTCGTTAGTTGGATAATTGGTTAGGGCGCTTGATCACAAGCAAATAAGACGTGGGCGGAGTCGAAAGCGTGCTCGATGGCTTCCTCTCCAAAGCCAACCTGCAGTGACACAAGCTGACGTCAGACATTGGCAATGGCTGCTGACGAAATAAGACCATGATGACCCGATGGTATGAGCAATGCACAATAGAGCTAGTGAACCTGTTCCGGGGCGAGAGCGTACAGAAATGTTGACGACAGCGGTTCGAGGAAAATTGATTAACGGTTTTGGCTTGCTCAATCAAAGTCGGCCAGATAATTACTGACGTGTGAATCTTTCAAGGGGATATTGTTGGACAATGGTAACGTGGACAGGAGATTACCACTGCCTGAGAACCCACGACTCTCAAGAAGCTCTCTCATTTGAGCTTGGCGGTACGGCGCAGGAGGCGAAAGCTGACACGTGACGGGTCATTGTAAAACAAAGCAAACCTTTGACGCAGCCAGGGCCCTTTAAGAACCCTGTTTAGTCCGCCCTGATCGCTGCCAAATCAACCGCAAAACCGTCTACATAACCGGTCAGTTTCAACCTTACGATCCTCCAAACCCCTAGCTTCCATCATACTGCAGGTTTGATCAAGATTGGCGCCTAACGTAAGGACTGGGCAGTTCAATCGATGGTAATCGGTATCCACAAGGTTTGTGATAGGTCTAAGTCGACCGTGAGTGAGGCAACCAAGCCTGACTGGATGTGCAATCACTTTTGTCCCTCTTTTAAAAACCACACCCTAAAACCCTAAAACCCTAGAAACTTTACAGGCATTCTCGTCGCTCTAGACATGGTCGGACACCCACCACTTCCTCATCTCGGCCCGCCCCGCGTCCATCGTCCTCTGCCGTTCGGCCCGCCTTCTCTCCGCCGCCTCTCGTTCTTTTCGCATCTCGATCTTGACCAGAATGTCCAGCGGCGTAGGCAGCTTCTGCGCCCCTGTGGTGTCCGCGGTGACCGTCTTCGATTCGGACGGCGCTGGACGCTTGTCAGAAGTGTCTAGCGGCGAGGGCAGCTTTTGCGCCCCTGCGGTGTCCGCGGTGACCGGTTTCGATTTGGACGGCGCCAGACCCTTGTCAGACTCCGCCCCCTTCAGCTCTTGCGCCCTTGTGGTGTCCGCGGTGACCGTCTTCGATTCGGACGGCGCCGGACCCTTGTCAGACTCCGTCCCCTGGGGCTCCTGCGTTTTTGTGGTGTCCGCGGTGACCGTCTTCGATTCGGACGGCGCCGGACGCTTGTCAGACTCCGTCCCCTGGGGCTCCTGCGCCTTTGTGGTGTTCTCAATGACCGTTTTCGATTCGGAGGGCGCCGGACTCTTGTCAGACTCCGTCCCCTGGGGCTCGGGCGCCGGTTTGGTGACCTCCTGCTCCTTGATCCACCTGGCAGAAGGCAGCTGACGTCAGCAGCTCGCGTCAGAAAACATCAAGGAGACTCTACGTTTGGTCTATATCCTGGACCAGAGCGAGAGGGAGTGACGTCAGCAGCTGACGTCAGCAGGGTCAGAAGGTGGTAAAGAAGACGCTCTGTGTAACAAATCGACTTCGGTTTTGAACCACACAGAGGGCGCATAATTTGCACGCAAGAAAGGCGTGGCCGGATTCGTAAGCGTGCTTCATGGCTTTTTCTCGTACCGCAATCTGCAGTGACAGAAGCTGAGATCAGACATTGGCCATAGATGCTCAAGAGTCTATAGATGCAGATTGGAGATATCATCTTACTCTGTGCAACAGAGCCATTGTACCTGAATTCACTGACAGTGGAAAGAGCACCGAAACGTCGACGGTGGCGCTTCAAGAAGGACGATAGACGCTTGTGGTTTGCTGGTGAAACAGCCGGCCAAATTTTGAGGTGTGCATCACGAAGCAGTCAAATGTTGAAAGGATACACGTGGACAGGGATTTCACAATTGAACTCAGCTGAAAGCCTCCGATTTTTATGAAGCGTCTCTCCCACTTAGAGCTTGAGTCGACAGAAGTGACGGGTTATTTGAAGCCAAAGCGAAACCTTTGGCACGGGCAAGGGCCACTGAGGAAGACTTTGATCCGCTCCGTGTGCGCTGGTCCTTTAACCCGATTCTGTCTTCGTCAGCAGGTCAGTCACAGGGCCTCCAAACTCCTGGTCTCCCCCGTACTCTAGGTTTGGTCAATCCTGGCCGCCTGACCCAAATCTAAACCCAGCAAATCACACGACTGGGCCGTTGATACTCGGGTCATCGAAAGCTAAGAGTCTGCACATCGGGCGAAGCCTTACATAGGCTAGAAGTCGGTCTTGAAGCAGGGAGCTAGGTTCACCGGTTGTGCCATACGTTCGTCCGTCTCCAGAACCAAACCTAAACGTTTTTCTCGTTTTTGACGTGATTGAAAACCCACCATTCCCTCATCTTTGCCCGCCCTGCGTCCATTTTCTTCTGCCGTTCGGCCTGCGCCGCCTCTTGTTCCTTTTGCACCTCGGCGCTGACCGGATCGTCCACCGGAGCAGCCGGCTCCTGCGCCTTTGTGGTGTCCGTGGTGATTGACTTCTCTTCGGACGGCGCTGGACGCTTTTCGGACTCCGCCGCCTGGAGTTCGAGCTTGCGCTTGGCGGCCTCTTGCTCCTCGGTCCACCTGGCACGGAATGACGCCAGCAGCTTGCGTCAGTAGGGGAACTTCCCGTTTGGTTCCCCGCTCTTGAACCAACTTGGGAGGAAGAATCTTCACTCTAGCAAAAGTAAGCTTTAGCAATAGTAAGGTGCCCAGCCTGGGACGGATAGGGTTAGTTTGGGGGTTTTGGTGGGTTCGGGTGCGGAGCGGGCGATTCTGTGGGTTAATTCTGTAGTGCAGGGGCTTACTACTGCTAGAGCTTACTTTTGCAGATTGAAGAAACATCTTGGGAGGGAGCGAAGACAGCAGCTGACCGACGGCAGGTTCAGAAGGTGGTTAAGTAAACGCTATGTATGTGGCAAACAGGCTTCGGTTAACTGTCCGCGAAGGGCGCATGATTCGCAAGCAACAACGGCGTGGGCACACTCGTACGTGTGCTTAATGGCTTCCCCTTCTACTCCAATCTGCAGCGACAGAAGCTTTAGTCAGACGACAGGTACCAACTTACTTTGCGACGACTTAATGGTACGGCAATGCAAAACAGAGCCAGCATAACTGACTCCCAAGACAGCGGGAGAGTACAGAAACGTTGATGACGGCTCTTCGAGAAGGGTTTGGATGACGCTCTCGGCTTACAGGAACAAGCCGGCCGAATGCCTAACGTGTGAAGCTTTAAGAGGAGAATAGGAACGTGGACCGGGGTTACCAACGACTGTGAGCCCCCGATCCTCAAAAAGTGTCTCCCCAGATTGTAAGTGTGTACTACTGAAAGATCAAAACTTGACAGATGACGCGTTGGCAAACAAGTAATCGGAACCTTTGACCGCCACAAAGCAGACCGCCCTATTGCAACTCGTCTACATCACCACATCAGGTCGAGACTTCGAGGCCTCCAGAATTTTCGATTTCATCATGCATTCGCCTCTTGTCAGAAGGGAACCCTACACATGTTCTAGTCAGACCCGAAAGATTGCAAACCCACCACGTCCTCATGGTTGCCCGCCCCGCGTCCATCCTCCTCTGCTGTTCGGCCTGCGCCTCGGGCGACATTTTCTGCGCCGCCTCTTGCTCCTTCTGCGCCTCGATGCTGACCGGGACGTCCGCGGGAGTACCCAACTCCTGCGCCCCTGTGGCATCCGTAGGAATCGTCTTCGTTTCGAGCGCGCGCTTGGTAGCCTCCAGCTGCTGGGTCCACCTGGCAGGGAGTGACGTCAGCAGCTTACGTCAGCAAATACTAAAGGGACTCTTCATTTGGTTCCCCTCCTAGACCCATTTGACAGGGAGTGACGTCAGCAGCCACTATCAGAATAACTAAACGCTCTGTGTGGGAATTAGCGATTTGGTCTGGTTGAAATCCTGCTAGGGCGCATGTTACACGAGCAAGAAAGTCATGTGAGGCAGTCGTAGGCGTCGACTCCTGCTCTGCAGCGGCGACAGAAGGTGACGTCAAACATTGGCCAGAGATAGTACCATCCTACTCTGCGCGTGACCCGATGGTTTGGGAGATGCATCTAAGCCATCGAACCTGATTCCAGATTGACAAGGGCACAAAGAAACGTCGACGGTGGAACTTCGAGAAAGGACTGAAAGCGCGGTTAGCTTGCCGAAGCCGGCCAGTTGTCCAACTTGTGAATCTTTACGGGGAAACTGCTGAAGAACGGGAAGGAGGACACGGCATTTCCAGTGATGAAGAGCTCACAATCCTCAATACGTGTTTACCCCAATTTCAGCTTGGCTTTACGTCCCAGATGGGGGTCAAAGTTGGCACAGACGCGATCGATTGGCCAATGACAAAGCGGACAATTTGTCACGGGCAGGGTCCACTGAGAACCACACTTAGTACTTTGAGGCTTTCAGAGTTCTCGAGTCCTCGTATGTCCGCCTTCTGTCGGTCGTGAACCCTACACACATCCCAGTCAGTCTTGACGAGTTGCGCACTCACCATTCCCTCATCTTTGCCCGCCCCGCATCCATTTTTTCCTGCCGTTCGGCCTGCGCCGCCTCTTGTTCCTTTTGCACCAGATCGTCCACCGGAGCGGCCAGCTCCGGCGCCGTTGTGGTGTCCGTGGTGGTTTCCTTCACTTCCGACGGCGCTGGACGCTCTTCGGACTCCGCCCCCTGGAGTTCGAGCTTGCGCTTGGAGGCCGCCTGCTCTTGGATCCACCTGGTAGGGAGTGACGTCAGAAGCTGGCGTCAGAGAGTGTTAAGGGGCTCTCCGTTTGGTCCCCGCTCTTGGATCCATTTGAGAGGGAGTGACGTGAGCTGGTGTCAGCAGATGGTAAGCAGACGCTTGTTGTGGGAGAAGAAATGTTCGGTTGGATTCCTGTTTCGGCGCACAATTTGCAAAGCAAGAAAGGAATGAACACTATCGTAGGCGTCGTTCCCTGATCTGCAGCTATAAAAGCTCTGCAGCTATAGAAGACGTCAACCATTGGCCACGGATGCTGACAGAAAGGCAGCATCTTACTGGCTTGTGACCCAATGATACGGGGGATGCACAACAGAGCCAATGAAACCTGATTCTAGGATGGCGAGAGCCCACAGAAACGTCGATGATGTCACTTCGAGAAGGATGTGAGGGCGATCTGGTTCATTGGGACGAGTCGGCCAGATAATTTTGCGGTTTGAGTCTGGAAAGGAATTCTGTTGGACGAAGTACATGTGGGGAGGCGAACTCGACTGACTGAGAGTCTTATGAATGTTTCGCAATCTTAGTTCGTTTACGGTCGAAGAGTCAAGAGTTGACAGACGGTGTACAGGTTAGCAAACCAGTCAGCGGAACCTTCTGAGAACCATGTTTGGTTTGCTCTGTGAGCGCTCTCCCCGTGACTGTGATCTACGTCTACCTTACCAGGTGAGGTCCAAATTTCGCGGCCTTCAAACCCCTCGATTTCATCAAGTTGTTGTCCCTTTTCAGAAGCAAACCCTACGCATGTATTCGTGAGTGTTGACAATCTGCGAACTCACCATTCCCTCATCTTTGCCCGCCCCGCGTCCATTTCCTTCTGCCGTTCGACCTGCACCGCATCTTGTTCCTTTGGCACCTCGGTGCTGACCAGAGCGTCCACCGGAGCAGCCGGCTCCTGCGCCCCTGTGGTGTCCGTGGTGATCGTCTTCGATTCGGACGGCTTTTCGGGCACCGTCCCCTCGACCGCACGTTTGGAGGCTTCCTGCTCCTGGGTCCACCTGACAGGGAGTGACGTGAGCAGCTTGCGTGAGAAAATAGTGGGGGGACTTTCCGTTTGGTTCCCGCTCCTGGACCCAATTCAGGGGGGGTGACGTCAGCAGCGGATGTCAGAAAGTGGTAAGTAGACGCCCTGTGTGGTCAAAACAATTCAGTTTGGTTGGATCCTTGCGAAGGGCGCAGCAACTACAAGCAAGAAAGAAGTCATAGGCGTGCTTAACGGCTTCCGGCGTATCCCGATTTGCAGCGCCAGAAGCTGACGTCAGACATTGGCCTTAGGTACTGACCACTGAGATAGATTCACTCTGCACATGACCCAGTCCTATGGAGAACATTTGCAGTAATAGAACCATCGAATCGGATCTGAAAACGACATGAGCACACAAAACGTCGACAATGGCACTTCGATGGATGACGCTCTTGGCTTGGTCTGAAAGAAGTCGGCCAAATGCCTGACGTGTGAGTTGTGGAAGAGACCTTGTCGAAGTGAAACGTGGACAAGGGTTACGGACTGACTGAGAGCCCGCAATCCACTTGACTTTCTTTGCCACTTCAGCTGAGCTGTACGGCGGGAGAATCAACGTTGAAAAAAGTGACAGACTACCAGGTTTTGCAAGCGGAGGTGTGCCACGGCCACGGTTTAGTGAGAGCCATGTTCGGTCCTCTCTGCACGAGCGCTGCCCCTTGGATTGTAATCTGTCTACATCAGCAGAGCAGGTTCAGCGTTACGAGGCCTGCTAAGTCCTCGACTCCACCATTCTGCAGGTTGTTGGAGTGAAAACAAAGAGAGTCTTCTATTTCAGCGCAGCCCACTTCCTATCGGCATTCATTAGTGGTACTGGCGTGCCCCACCTTGTTCATAAAAAACATAGAAAGAAACGAAAGAAAAACTACTGAAAAGGGGAAATAAATCAAACTCAGTGATCCTGGCCGCCTGACCCAAACCTGGTCTCAGCCGATTGGGACTGGTCCGCTCAAGTGATGGTATTCAGGAATTCGAAGGTCCAAGTTATGGGCAAGGGCAAAACTTTTGCGAATGGCTCGAAGTCGGTCTGAAGTCAGGCGGCCAGGGTGAACCCGTTGTACAATACCTTTCTCTTTTACCAGAACCAAACTTACACGAGCTCTCGTCTGATTGTAAACCCACCAATTCCTCATATTCGCCCGCCCCACGTCCATTTTCCGCTGCCTGTCCGCCTGCGCATCGACGCTGACCGAATCGTCCAACGGAGTAACCGGCTCCTGCGCCCCTGTGGTGTCCGTGGTGATCGTCTTCGCTTCGGACGGCGCCGGATGCTCTTCGGACGCCGTCGCCTGGAGTCAAAAGCGAAGTTAAATGTTCTCATCCCACAGGGCCGCATGACGGCGAGGAGGCAGGGTCAAAGCCAGAGCCGGATGACTATACGTGTACACTTTCCATGGATGGAGGACAGTCCAGGGCAGGACTGGAAGTGGCCATCAGAAACTTGCTCAAGCGTTTGAAACAGGACACGATTGTGAGCAGCGAGCTTGTGAGAATGCGCAAAGAGAAGTGCGAAGAGCGGGAGAGGGCGCTCAAGAGCACACAGGACAAGCTGCGGCTGGAACGAGACAAGAGGAGGGAAAAGTCGCTCGTTTTTTCCAATTACGATTTCTCGATATTCAGCCTTGGTGAGACACTTGTGTTCTACTTGAAAGTCCAACTATCTGCATGCAGAGGTCTACACATGTGCCTGTTAGCTACAAGCGCATGTCAATGGACCACATTTAAAGGGAGTTTTGAACCCTGTGAATCTTCACATGGGAGTGGAGGCGGCTTTCTTTGTTGAAAGCGACCCTTGCCCTTTTACTATAAGTCCCCAATGATTCATATAGGGAGCAGAGTCCAGGGTCTTATCGCTGGCCAGTAAGTTCACGCGTTAAACTGCCCTCCGGCAGATTGATCTGAGTTCAGTGTCAAGGGCTTAAAGACTGATCCAGTTCAGCAATTGCCAGGTCATGGCCATACAATTGACATACCAAAAGTAGCATCGGATCATTCTTCTTGAAACAGAGCAGATCAATCTTCTCACCAGCTCTTCCTGCCGTCCGGACGGGACCGTTTTCGCTTCGGCAACCGTAGTGGCTTGCTTGGGGGTTGAACTGGGACTGCGCCGTACGGGAAGTGCTCTGCGAGTGCGTTTTACTTTTGGCAGGGGCGGACGAGAGGGGTCGAGCGCTCGGAGTCGGTGGTCGAGCCACCTGCAAGCAAGTAGAAGCTGTTTATCGCATGCACGTACAAGAGACCCAAAACAGCAGAATGTTTCTAATGGTAAGACCTTGAAACCGGTTTAAACGGAAACACAACCGAGGGTGATACTGATGAATATCGCCGGTGCCGTGACGGCAGCGCAGCAAATAAATAAGTCGAGAATATCCAAAAGGGACGGCGAGGCTCTACAAACCCGGCTGCTGTGCGGTCAACTTTCTGTGGGTTTGAAAATTGTGAGACGACTTGCTGGATGCGGAAGGCCGCTCTATTTTGAACCGAGGAGAGATTGTAGGGGGCTTAAGTTACGTCAGAATTACTGTGTCATGGACTTGGGTGTGCCCAGAATCAGCCGCTCACCACGGTTGTCTAACAAGCAATTTACTGTAAGTCGTAAGCAGTATTCATCTGACTGTCTGCAGCTGTAGTCCAACTTGAAGCAGGCCGAGGTGCCCTTTTGATACGAATATCAGATTTGCTGTTTCTAGCGTTGATATAACCGACTTATATGCGTCTTGCAACGTGGGCCGCTGGCTCAGAATAGCTGGTACTCGGGAGTGGAAGTAACTAGGAAGAGGCATAATGTATCAGAATGCGGTGTCCCAGCAGAGTCATTTAAGAATGATGGGACTCCTTGTGCTGGCTCCTGACCCTGCCAAGAATGTACCACATGCTCCAAGGGTCACAATGCTCAAAGGAAAGAGGAGCGGTTTACTGTGCAACTCTTCGGACCCGAGGAGAACCAAAAACATGAGCAACAGGCTGGGACGTCGAAACCACCGGACTCACCAGACTCTCATCACTGCCCTTCCCTCTTCCATCTCAATCCGACGTGCAAACTCTCCTGCTTCCGGGGCATCGCTTGAATCGGCGATCTCAGCTGCTTTCTCTGCTTTTTGCACATGCTGTATATACCACCTGCAAAGACAAATAAAATCCATGTCGTGAGAAGTACACTGTGGCAACACTGGCAGGGGGCCTTTGCATCTTGAAGGCGAAGGGATTAGGTGTCAGGGATGAACAGAGGCAGCTCAGGAGGACACTAGGCAAACATTCCTGCACCGGCCTCAAAGTTGGTTGCCCAATTTTGATTCAAGGACCGCTACATCTTCTTTGTGCCCTGTTCTTCGTATGCTGAGTCGCCACATAGCTTGGGACATGGCAAGGACTGTAACACTAGCTGACAAGTAGATTGGAGCGTCCTGCTATAACGGTTGCAGCAATCTAGCAGGATAGCGGTAAAATGTCCTCCGGTCCATGTTATGACCATAAGATGTGACCAACAGGTAAGCTTCATTGAATCAGCGCCAGTTTTGCTGCTTCTTTTTGAACACTTGCAACGTCGAATGCAGTGGTAGACTCAGGTTCCAGATACGGAGAGAAAGATACTTGGAGAAATAAGCCTAAAGAGAAAGGCAAGACATTCCTATGACACATGACACTGATTGAATGTGAATGACTCCCACCGTTAATGGCATGAAACGAATGTGATCCTGTCAACCAGCGTATGGCATTTGCTCTATATGACGCCGAAAGCGGTATCTGACAAAGTCCCTTGGTGCATTTGGCAATGTGCCTTGCCATATGGCTTACCATGTCCTCATTGAGGCCCGCCCTTTCTGCATTCGTGCCTCCTGCAAAAGGCCTTCGAGACTGCTTTTCACAGACCCTTCTATTGAGGGTGAGGCAGCAGCCAATGCAGCTCGAGTGACCCCATGCTTCGCTGATCGGTTTGCGTAGCGCTGACTCAGAAGAAGCAGATTCGTAGGAGTCTCCAAACATGCTCTATTGAAGGAACCAGCGAGCAGGAAGGACTTCTGTTGGATGCAGAGCTGCGTGGACGCCATGATTCGCCTTATAATCAAGTGGCGAATCTCCTGTTCACAGTTCTTTCGGGAGCCAATCCTGTAAATCCTAACTACAACCAGGTGGTTGCACTAGAGTAGGGAAGAAATTGTAGGAGACGACTTGCTCAGTGACGCAACTTATCGTTTTAGCTGGCCGGCCACCAACTTGACCCTCTCGTCCGACCTAGCTGAAATTGCAAGGTTTTCACAAAAATTCACCCCGCAACTAATTTCGACGTTTCGTATCGAAGTTGCTCACTCTGAGGCAGATATTAGGCTGGGAATGATTTGTGCAGCGACTTAGCTCCGCCGTCGAAAGACATTCTGGATTTAATTTGAGATTTCCAGAATGGATAATGTTCTCGTCATGCCTCAGGCTCAAGAGTCGCAGAGCAGCTAAGTTCTGGGCCCTGGCCCTGGCCCTGGGCCTGGGAATGGGTGGACGGTGCATGCGGGGGTGCCTTTCACAAGTTTCAGACCGTCCGATCGCCAGGAAGGTCTTGCTCATCTTGCGCACTCCCTCTCCACTCGTCCAATTTGCCAGCAACAGGCTGGCCCAAGGCTGACGCTCGTTTTCAGAGACTTTCTTTTGAAGATGGTCAGGCAACGAGCTCAGAAGGAGCTGGAGAATGGCATAGGTGGTCGCTTTCGGGTCCCTGCCTCTTACTATCTGGTTTTCCAAACTCTGTCCATGTAAAACCAAGAAGTGCATCACTTCTACCACCTGCAGTTTGATCGTTTATTTCTTAGCAATGAGCATCTTCGACAGCACCCTTCCATTCACAATCCAACTCTTGCAGAGTAGCTCATAAGGTTGCACCTCTTGATTGATCCACCCAAAGGAATGTCGACCTCAAGGGATTGGATGTTAAGAAGCGCCTCCCCAAATATGGAAACTTGCGGCCTATCGCTGCCGGAATTCATAAGCTCCTGCAATGGGTGTCACGATGACCAGTATGTGGCCGCTTGTATCGACAGACCGCAACGACGTCGCAGCTGTAGGCTGGATTTCGGGAAATTCTGGCACGCACAAGAGCGGACTAATTTGAGAGGGCGCGCAGGCCGCCAACACCAAGGTTAGACAGAGACATGAGCTCGCCTACCGGCTTTGGCCCGAGCAGCAGGACGTATAGCTATGAGCAGCTCATGGAGCAGACCAGGAGAGTTGCGGAAGGCCTAGAGGAGCGAGGAGTAGCATCGGACGACGTGCACGTGGTCATGTCTCCAGCACCGAAGCTGCCTGAGGTGAGTTTTCATGCGGTCGATGGAGCAACTAGGAGCGGCCGGGGAGTCCAACAAACTCTGATTCAGGGGTTTACGCAATTGGGGGCGGAAACTTCTTGCAGCTTATAATCTGGGCCCCGAATACATGGCACCAGTGCGTCAAGAGGCTTGGATTGTGTTAGAACTGCAATTGCCGGCAGTACAGATGCCAGCATTTGTGCTCAAAGTCTACAAATCCAGGAGCACCAAGGACCCCATTCTGCTGGCCGATGGGCTGTTCCCACGTTCAAACGCACGGCCCACTTGTCGAACATTCAGCCTAACCCTGAGATTCTACGGCCCTTACAACAGCTCTCTCTCTCATGCAGCAAGTCAATAAATTCTAGCTGCTTGTCAAACTTGCAAGGTGGGTTCGCATCTTGCATAAGTTTTGTCTCAGCTGATTATTGAAACAACAATGGTTCAACAAGAGCAAGATTGGTTTGATCTTAGACCTAATCACTCCCCTTTCGAAAAGCAATTTCGGTCCTTCTCGAAGACTTGAAAGAAGACGCGGGAAGATTCGCTAACCCTTTAAACACTTCGTCCAGGTTAACTGAACAAGCCAGGAGCCAGCGCAGCAGCCCTTGACAAGGAACTGCTGGTTTTGAACTTTTCAAAGTCGTAGCAAAACTATATACACATCCAATAACACCAATCAAACCCTGTTGGCGGCAATCAACAAGGACGGCTGGTTGCTGACGTGTGACGTGGCAAACGTCAGCGAGGGCGGGGAAGAGTTTCTCATGGATCGCGTCAAGAAGCTCATCAAAGACAAGGGCTCTCAGGTCAGCCTTCATAGCTTACGGGGCTCAGCATAGCCTATGTTACTTGTCATGGCTTCCGGCACTTAATGTAGTGTACACTTACCGGTTGACCACGGCTCAATTGCTTGAAGTTCTTCCAGGCGTTTGATCATGTCGAGAGGTCAAAACTTTAGAATGCACGTCTGCGCCACGCCTGGTACTCTAGCAGGTGTGAATTACCCTGGGCGTTGACACGATGAAGGTTATCGGACCCCGCTCGCAACTTGACCTTGTTCGGCGTCTCCTTGATGAATCCGGATGGCCAAGCTTTTTATTGGCCGTTCTTGAAACCTCGTTCCTCTTTGGATACTTACTGCTCGCCAGATTGCTTACATTGGATGCTCGAAAGGTGGCCCTGGTCCCTTGGTCATCGTGCTCAGGTAAAGGTGGGCACTTGCTGCTATGAAGAAGAGCATTTTCGTACTGACAGTGAGAGTCGTTCCGCTCATTCCGCAGTTTTTCGTTCCTGACGGACGGAATGCGTTCCTCTTCCAGGTTCCGGTGGAGCTGGAGGCTCTCCTAGTCGACCGCCCCGTAGTCGTGGACGCAACAGTTATTGGGTAAGAACTGCGTCATCAAACACGCAATCAAACAGATTGCTGACGTCAGCTAGCTCGAGATCTGAGGTCATTGCTTACTGCGGTCCATGTGGCGGTATTGGGTCACTGATCCGATCGGTGGCGAACTGCGGCGACTGCGGCGACCTTTGGTCAATTATCTAGAATTTTCTTCAGAAGGGCGTTCGACTTCAGGGGGACCCAATTATTGCGCACTCGATGTCGCAGAAGTTCTACCTCGCTGTCATTTAAATAAAGGAGATTGAAACTCAACGGGCCGGCAATCAGAACCCGAAAAATGTTTGTACAGTTGGGCTCGAGCCTCAGGTTTGCAACGCAGCGCGCGTGACTAGAATCCTAAAACCGCTGTGGCTCTTCCAACCCTGTATCCGAAAGCCGCTGCCAAAAGCCACGTTGCGCTGCAGAAGTCACGACGGTTTGGTATTGATTCTTCAGAGTAATTGTAACGGTGTTAGCCTCAAAAAGGGTGGCTTAGCTTGGGGATCGGCGCGGAGCAGGTGAGCTAGGTTGCAGCATTAAGTTGGTAGGTTACGCTTTTCATCACTCACTCTGCTTTAACATGATACGTCATTTGCCGCAGAATTTGGGAGAGCCGCACTGGGCTTCTTCCGAACAGCAGATGGGTTCACGTTCACCGAGGAGGAGGTACATCGCCAAGCAAGTGAGGCCCTCCCAAACCTCGGAAACTATTTTTGCTTTGAGTGTTGATTAGCGAGGAGTCAGCCAGACTTTCAGCACGCCAAGTGGTTTCAGCAGCTTTGTGAGGAGGTCGATGTGGAGACGAGTGAAGGATCCGCCATGTGGCACTTCTTCGTTGGTTCTGGTCTTCGTTGAACGCTTTGAAGGATGGGGTTTAAGAGATTCTATACCAAGCACCTAGTCAAATGGACCGCGAGAACAAACAAGCTTGCGTTGGCCCGATTCAAAGCAGCACACCCTGTGCGGCTGTGCTTTTGCAATCTAGCGGAGTTGGTTAAGCAGACCGCTTTGGTCCCACAAACCCCCTTCTTAGGCTGGCGGGTCAAACGTATCAAGTGGACAGCTGAGCGGGTTTGCTCCACGGCGGGTGTCCAGTGACCAGAAAGCGACAATCGAGCTACCGCATTTCCTGTCGGTCTGGGTTGAGAACCATCTAAAGCTCAATCCCGGGCAAAATCTAATCAGCGTCGTCTTTGAAAGCGTTTCCTGGCTCTCGGCCGTCAGATCGACCCCATTTTCCCGACACGCAAAAGTGTTCGAAGTGATCTCGAGCCGTGTGTCTATTTCCTGATCTTTAACCACTCCTTTAACCCGGCCTCTAACCACTCCTTCAACCCTGCCTATAATCCTGTTTCTGAACCTTCTGTCTTAGTCCTTTCGTACTGTGATTATTGTCCAGGCCGTCTACTACAAGAGGCTGAGCGCAATTGAGTTCGTAGAGAAAGTTTCGATTCCGACTGCGGGTAAGATTCTGAGGAAGGGAATAAGGCCAAGGTCGCAGCAAGGATCAGGACGAGCAACGTGTGACCGCAGTCCGTGGTTAATCATACCGTCGGACTCATTCATGTGGGCTCTACAATAGCCGCTAGACCTGAGGTCTACAATATTGGGCCAAAGCGTTTTCTGTCACTAATAGCTCCTCAACAGTGCTTGCGCGGGTTTTGTCGAAACGAGTTCGCTTCATGATCTCATGAGAGGCAATGTATATTCGTACAGCGAATAGGACTTACTGATCGGTAGTGCGTTTGTCAAAAGACGCGACGCGAGAAGCAATGGGCTGCCCAGACGGCCGACTTGAAAACAAATATATTGTATGATGTCAGTCGGCCTCATAATCAGGGACACGCATGCAGCTAGCCATAGTTAGGCTCGATGGCCCGCCGCCCCGGCCAGAGGGTACGACGGTAGGATACTCAACGGACTCAACAGAAACGTTGGATCTTGAATTCAATATTGCTCCATCATGACATCGTACGAGCTGAGTCAGACTGAATCATTGGTATGCCGTGCCGATGACCTGTTCATATAGCTCGTCGCGATCGACAATCGAATAGCCGCCGAACGCTTTAGTATGCTAAGCAGCAGCCTGAGTCCGCGCGAGTCGATCCGAGATCGGTTCGATCTACATTCTACTAGAATGTAGGCTACACATGTACTAGCGGTGGTACGTTCTGATCGAAGCACATCGCCAGAGATCATGCATGTGCAAAGAGCCAAACCGCGAACTTCAATCAAATCAAGGTCGGACTGATCCGACCGTCAGATCCATGATCGATGCTCAGTGCACTAACTGATTGGAGAGTGCGGTAATTCTGGCTAAAGGGATTGAACTAGAGCATTTCCAAAAAAGGAATCAAGCACCACCTCCAAAAACAAAGCTCGCCTGTAGAGAACCGACTAAACCCCAAGTAGACTCATTGCATGCCCTGGTGTGCATCAAGCATCATGTATGCAGGGTTGCGTATCGGAATTCGTCGGATCCGATATCTAAATTGTATTCGCGCAGCCAATGGCCTAACGTTCAATAATGAGAGAGCGCGCGCACTAGTGTGAGAGACAGAAGTACTCTCGCTGTTGAAAGCGGCTGTTCGCAATCATTACATCCGCTACTCAGAGCTCGTGTGTTCGTCTGTACGGATCATCCAGTAGACTGAAAGGCAACGTCGAGCTTCAAAGCGGAAAGCGGACTCGACCAAAAGGAGCTGTGACGAAACCGACGTGTCCACATTTCTCCTGCGCCGCCGGGAAGAAGATTGACGATTTTGCGTCAGTTCTGACACTGACATAGCCCATAAAGGCAAGCGCGCACTTACTGCTTCGTCGACTGTGCATGGCGGGCGCCCCCGTATCACAGCCTGCCACGTGGCGCGGGCATATGGGCTGCTTCGCTTTTCTTGCATGGGCCAGTGTCAAACTGCAAGAAGTCTGCAGCTCAGCTACTAGCCTAGTAGAAGAAGGAAGCGCAAATACCCCTAAGCATGAAGCGAGGAGAGCGTCACTTAACGTAGTCATTGTATCTGCAGGCAGCGTCGTTGCTTGCGTAGACTTGCTTCGTCTAAGTCCTTGCTTGGAAAGAAAAAGGCAGGCGCCAATCCTGCCAAGCTGGCCCAAGAATCGGCGAGCAAAAGTGAACTCCAGAGCTGAAGAATGTTTCTAAGGGTCCTTGGGAAGAAGAAGGAAGGCGCAAACACCAAACCAGCGCCGCTCTTTTCGATGCGCGCAAACATGGCGATATCTGAAGCAATCGAAGCACGGCTCTCCCCAGCGGTGACCTCTGACGGCGTTCAAAAGCGCGCGCGCCGCGTCCGTTTCGCGCTCCGCTCCCAGCATTCCGGCGACCTCGCAGTGGAACCCCGCCCCCGGAACCAGGACAGACCCGCCCCAGTGGTCGCCCGGAACGAAGACCATCTCATTCTTGACCTGAAAGACGGGCAGCCTTGCACCATTTGGACCGTCTTCGTGATCTGGAGCATCTTCTTCTTTCCCTACAGCTCGTTCTTCCCGGCCACCATAGCCGCTGCGCTTTACATAGCGTACCGCCAGCTGGGCTATAGCGTATGGGTCGCTTGCGTCGCTCTGTGCCTCTTCTCACTATCAGTCCCCCTGTACTACAACCGCGCGTTCCGAGACGTGTACTTCCGGCGCTTACACATCAAGCTCGCGCACTACGCCAAATCGAGCAGAGCTGTCATTCCAGCCAAGAAGTACCCCCCCGGAAAGAATTACGTTTTTGGGTTACATCCCCACGGGCGGGTTATGTACTCAACCCTGCTTCTCAGCCAGCTAAACGACGTTTTCCGGCGGGTGCTTCCGGATGGGGGGGGTGACGTGTTCGGGGGGGTTGCGGCCACGTTCTTCTACGTTCCCATATTTCGAAGTGAGTTTTCAAGGCAGCTCCTGACAAAGCTGGTGAATTTGTGGATTTCACAAACCTTCTCGCCATGTTCTTGGCCTGGGTCCATTTTCCTCCCTTGTTCACCGTTCCGAAACGAGTTTTAGGATCAGCCCTTATGGCTGGAAGATACCTTGATTATTCTCGAATTGAATCCCGCATATCTTGCCCTGGGCCAGATCCTTCCGCGTTCGTTGGTTTTCCTGAGATTGATTTAAGTCCGCTCCAGGGCTGGGTCAGGGTGGGCAAAAATGGTCTCGCATTCAGTGTCCTGGATAGTGGTTTACATAAAACACAAACTTAACAGATGGCAATGGATTGATCGACATCCACCATAGCCGCCCGGGAAACGCTAGCGTGTCCAGGTGTGACATAGCGTGTCCAGGTGTCACATGATGGTCGAAATCTATGTCGAGAGGCATAAACCTTTCTGAAATTGCACCTTCACTCACTGCCTTCCCCTGATTGTTCGGAACCGGGTTATCGATCGAAGCATTGTGGTCAGTGACTAACGAAAAGCTGCTCGTTACGGATGGGTCATCAATCGCATCAACTCTTCTAAAGTGACTTTAAGACTGTTTACTCTGTGAGACAGCGAGCTTTCAATGGATGAGACCTGGAAGGACCGAGCTACTTTCAGAGTCCCTACTATATGCAGGCATGTTCTGGGTGCTTCAGTCGGCCACGTGGCACTTTGCGGGTATAAGATGCCTGACTAAAGGATCCGTGTGCGCTCCACAGATTGGTGCTACATGTTGGGAGCATTCTCTGCGACGAAGACCCTGATGCGAGCGCAACTAGACCGGGGAAACAACGTGAGGACCAGCCTCTGACCTTGATGACGTCTTTGCGGACGTGGTCTAAGTTTGCGGACCTTCGAAACACTTACACCGAGTCAAATGAAGCACAGCTAAAAGTCCCGCGATCCTTATGCCCCTAAGAATCTGCTGAACGGAACATCAAGGGCTGCTGTTTGTTTGTGAGAATAAGTTCCCTCGCTTTGGTTTAGGTCTTTCTATCTCGATCACTCTGTTAGAGCCTCTCATACAAGGGTTTGGACCTCTGCTCCGCTCTCCGCTCTAAGGAGCGGTTTTGTGGAGCGGTTCTAAGGAGCAGTTTCCGTTCTTTGGTGATCACAAACCCCGCGGAGAGCTTTGAGCTGCTTTTAATGACGACGTTCGCATGACGTGTCACCCGCACGCGTTCCATGCTGCTCTTTGACCTTGGATCTTTTGTCGGGCGGAACCTGGTTGAGCAAAACGAACAAGTCTTTTTCAATCCTTTGATTCTAAAGTTGTGGTAATTTACATCGGACAACTGTGAAAGCGATCCATAAAAGTCCCGGTAGTGCAATGACGGAACTCCTGCACTTCTGACGTCGGCATCAAAAGCGCCCACGTAACAGGCTGCACGCCCCATCAGACTTAGTAGTTCTTTCAGTTTCTCTAGAAGTCTGCGATTTGGGAAGTCGTTTGAAGGATTTTCGGTTAAGGCTCCGATCGGGGTTGTCGCCCCCCCCAAGTTCTTGGGTGCATAACCGATTCTGTACATGTAGCAAATTTCGTTTGTCGGCACGAGTTGCGGTCACTCGGGCGGTATTCTGGGTAAGCTTGGACCTCATCATAATTCGTCCTTCTTCGAGTGCGAAGGCGGGTCTGATTAGCCTAACCCACTCTCCTTATCTTTGGCAGGTTGCGATGCTTGTGGGTTGCTCCAAGTTATTCCGGGTTGAGCTCGGCTTGTCCGTCCCTCTTTGCACAAACCGGTTTCCTTATGAAGCATAGAACCTTTTCCTGGCTGGTCGCAATCTCACGTCGGTGCATGCCTCGGGTCACTCAAGCTACTTCTTTTTGTATACTATAACCTGGTTTGTTAACCCGACCAAATCCCTGTTTGCCGCCACAGGTTACGGAAGCCGTGGGCGGTGTGAACTTGGAGGTCTGCGTAAGCTTTGGGCCGGCTGTGCGACCTTCTACATGCAAGACCTGATAATTTTAGTCAGACTAACCCAAGAGATTCAACCCTGGCAGGTTGCGGTAACCGTGGGCGGTGTGAAGGAGGTGTGCCTGCCGACGTACGACGACAAAGACGTCTTGTACCTGAAAAAGCGGTGGGTTTGCTTGCGTTTACAGAAGGGTTTGCCTGCTAACCAGGCTGAGCAACCCGACCTGAACCAGACTCTGCAACCAATGTAACCGAGCTGCGACTAGGTGGAAGTCTGATTGATGGTCGTTTCTGCTGTTCATTGGACGTTTGACCAGCTTCTAACCAACCCGCAACCAGCCATGGTCAAGAGCCAACAAGCCGGTGGCTCTGCGATTTGTGTTTCGCGTTCCGCCCTTGCTCGCGTGTGAACATCCGCTGTTTGCGGAAACTTTGAGAGGAGCAAGCTAAAGAGCTTCATCTGACGGCTGTTTGAGCGGATAGCGGCTCCACGGTTCATGGAAGAGCCTATTATTCTGGCTTTGCACGAGAAAGATGAAGTTTGTCGTCGAGCGACCACTTTCACCAGCAAAGATTCGTAAAGTCGTTTCTCATGATGGCACTTCCCGCAGTCTGCAGATGCTGAGCGTGATGACACCGTGTGAATTGAACACCAGAGATTGTTTCGGATCTGATCCCCACTGCCTTCCAGTTTTACAATGACGGAAAAATTGTTGCGGATTCCTTCTCCCAGATCATTCCATTACAATTTGAAAACCTCAAATTAACTAAACGCAAAAGCTGTCGTAACCTCACGGTGGACTTGTGAGATTGTCTCGAATCCTCGTGCGTTGGACTACGGTGTTCAAAACTGAAAGGTTTGGTTTTGGGCTTTCTACAGATTCGGGTTCGTCAAGCTGGCCCTAGAAGCAAAGGCCGGACTAGTCCCAATCTACTTCTTCAACGAGAACTCGGTAAGAATATAATCGCATAGACCTCTGGATTCTAGCAGTAAAGCGTCGGTCGGTGACGGGCTGGTTCGAGAGCTGGTTAGAAGCTGGTTAGAAGCTGGTCAAGTATTCAATAACCGACTCGGCGGGCGGTAGTCAGAGTTAACGCCGGATTGTTGTCCAGTAACCAATGTTCGGAGGCTGTATTTACTAGTCCTAGCTGATTAGAAATAAAAACTTCTATGAATCAAATGTGAAGAAACTCCAAATTCAAAGTATAGCTGTTCAAGCCCGATTTGCTCTTGAATCTAGAACTCTGGGAAGCCGTGAAACGTTCCTTCCCCGTTCTTGACGCCTGTATGTCTGTCTGGTACCGAGACTGAGGGCTGGTTAAGCAGCGTGGTTAGCAGTAAAACCTACCTGTACATAACAAAGTTCTTTTTCTACATCTCTATCTGCTCTTGTCTCTCGATCTTTGGGAGGCCATGAATGATCCCGTCTCCATTCTCTAAGTCCGCTTACCTCTCCTTACCCACTGCACCCTGGGCTGGTTAATTATGCGGCGCGGCTAGCAACACAACCATGACGACTCGAGAGTTCCGCTAACTTACTCATCTTTCAAGCACGAGATGCCGCTCTTCTTTCTGTGAGGCCGTGACCAGTTACGATTCGTATCACTAAAACCCGGGTATCTGTACCGTACCAGACTTAGAGCTGGTTACTTCCAGGGTTAAAAAGCAAAACTGAGGGAACTTTCTTTCGAACTGCAGCTCTTCAAGCACGTACGATCCGCTGTGGTTTCTCAAGTTTTGGGAGGCCGCAAACCGCTTCGTCTCTATCGTGAAAACCCGGTTACCTTGCCCGTACCCACACTTGGAACGGGTTACATTCCTGGTTAAAATCAAACCCTACCTATAATAGTGAATCTCGTCTTTTGATTACAGCTATTCAAGCACGATCCGCTGTGGTTTCTGAAATTCTGGGAGGCGGCGAACCGTTACGTCCCCATCGGTGTGCCTCTGTTCCGCGGGATCTGGAACCTGCCCTTTCCATATCGCCGGTAAGCTCCCTATCAAACGCGGGGCCCGCTTATGCTCCTGCTTATTGGACTATTCATCGCCCGTGCTACTAGTCACCGTTCTGAATCGCAGAAGAAGGGTGGGGCTGCTTTGATGTAGTCGTCAAGCGCCCTGTTCTCACCTTTCTCGTACCGGTGCTCAGCCCTCTGTGTATCTGAGGAAAAGGGGGCCCGCTTATATAGCCAGATCTGACCTCGCACCTGGCAGTCCGACACTTTCGACAGCCTTGGCAGTCGCCCTCTTACGCGGGTTCCGGTGCTCGTGTATACAGCCACACTCTGCTCAATCTCGTCTTTCTTGGCCGCTTTGGAGGCCGTCTTTGTTACGGTTGGGAGAGTCTGGTCGTACTTGGCAATCCCACGTGGAAGAGATACTCCTAAAGCTTGACGCGTCAGGAGGCATTCATACTCGACCTTCCAAGCGACCATTCGGCTTGGGTCTTGCGGAAAATGGTCGCCCTGCGAAAGGCCGTCTTGTGATTGCGAAATTGGGCGCTTCTCGCGTATTCAATTGGATCCACATTTCCCCCGAGTCAGGCACATCGCACATCGACAGGTTCACAGAAGACAGCGCTTCTGCCACGCGCCTTTTTTTCAATAAAGCTCCAGATTCGAAGAGGTTCGAAGAGACGAAACTAGCTTCAACTGCAGTACGTCTTCGAAGGATGGCCAATTTACTCGGCGCTAAGGAGTTGCAATATGATCGACACCTTCGCATTCTACTGTGTCCGTTTGAGCGATTCAGTTTGAGCTACTTCATTGAGACTTGCAGGGATCAGCTGAGGGGATCGGGGACTCTCCACCTTTCTATGAACTCAAAATCAACAGCCTAAACGTCTGAAAAGTAAACTAGGTACGTGTTTTGAGTACCGTTCTCGTCGGGCACGTGTCGTGCAGGGATTTGCTGAAGGCGTTCGGCGAGCCCCTGTTTGAATAACTTGACTTGCTCCATCTCAAAAAGTGTCCTAATTTCTGACGGTTCGTGTCGGACGTGTGTCGTGCAGGGATCTGCTGGCGTTTGCGCCGGAGCCTCTTTGAAAATTTATGCAACTTTGAGAGCTAAGTTCTCTTTTAAAGATTCTCAAAGTTGTTTGGGCTCGACACATGTGGTGCAGGAATCTGCTGAAGCCATCCGGGAGCCTCTGTTTGGATGGACAAACCTATCTTTTGACAACTTCATTCTCTGGGATGCATCTCTGACCGTTCGTGAGGGACACGTGTCATGCAGGGATCTGCTGATGGCGTTCGGGGAGCCACTGTTTGCTGAGGACGACGAGAGCGTGGAGGAGTTCCATGCTCGGTACACGGAAGCGGTCAAGCAGCTGTTTGACAAGTACGTGGGAATGTCTGCCGATCCAAAGCACAAGCTGGTAATCGTGTGACGCAGTCACGTAGCTCTACTTTGAGATGAAGAACGTACGTCGCTCAAGTTGTTTTGTGTTCAACTTGAAGTTCCACATCGAGAGTTAGTGGTGACCGTGAGCAAGAGCTTTCAAGAGATACGGGATGCATTTACGTTCAGTGATCAAATAGAAGTTCGATAGTAGAAGAGCACATGATTGAGGGCACACTGAATAAACGGATTCATCTATGTCCGATTTGTCAGAGCCTCCTAGCTCTAGTATCATGATGTAGGGAAGTACGTGCTCGAGCGGCAATCTGTATGAACCTCAGTGTAACCATGCATAGCAACAAAACGTACATAGACGTCAGATGGTGAGATAGGCTCAGTGATCGAGCTGATCAAACTCGAGCTGATATATAGATCCCGTATAGATCATGCAAACGTAAGGAGGATTGCATCTATTCCATACTAGCTATGTTGCAAGGCGGTCATATAGGTCCCAGCCGGGCCACTGTAGCGCGCGGGTTAGGATTCGAGTAATTAAGGAGTTGAAGGCCAACGTCGCAGCAAGGATCGGGACGAGCAACTCTAGCTTGTGATCAAAGTCCTGGTTACTTTAATCGGCTCCGAACTCATTATTGAGGGCCTTAGCCTAGACACAAACATAATTGTATTTCACGAGAAGCCTGTGGCCGCACTCAGTGGCTTAGTATATATGGCGTTATGAAAAAGGACCGTCATGTCTCACTGCATGCCTACAGCCACACATGTCAATGGCCTCGCATGGGCATTAAAGAGGCGTGAGCCTTTTGACTTTATGAGCTTAGCTGCCAGCTAACCGGCCCACGTTGAGTTGATCGTGCTTAATTACGGGGCCGGTCGGGCCAGCGCTAAAAAAATGCGTGATTGAACAACTAGCTATGAATATGAGTCTGGTTCGCTGGCTTGACCTCTGGCTGCAATTATTATGCGCACTGGATAACGAGCTCGGCATAATTCACCGTTCATTGTACGTGGATGTAGGTATTACCACAGCCGCTCCTTTACGAGAGTTTTGGATACCATGTGCCAGACGACTCAATACTTGCATATCTGACTTCTACATGACACGCAAGATCGGCACCCACCTTGCAAGTTGCATACTCAGAACAATAGAAAGGTGACGTACCGGAACTTTGGACGCGATCGCACTAGATTTTCTCGGACAATCTGATCCATACAGGACAGCTAAAGCTGACGGGCCGGAACTCGACAAACTTGAAAACGTCTACCGCTCGAGGACCCAAATCAGCCAGTCAAAGGGTCAATGGCCGCACTGACACAAAGACTAAATGACGTATTGTATGGAAAAACCACGGTAAATCGCATGACCCCTCGTTAGGCCGCACTTAAATGAATCCGGTCGTGGCGATGGCACATTGGATCACGAGGTACGGTTGCAAGTTCCCATGAGGTTGCGAGCCCCCGGCGACCGACCCAAGCGCTGTGCGATACAATTGCCCGTTGGAACTGACCCCCGGGCCATTGTCATCGTACGGTACGACGACCGCTTGTTGGCCCGGCGGGAGTGTGGTGTCAATATTCGCAGGGCTCTGGCCCGCAGTAAAGGTCGGAGGCAGGGGGCTGTCGAGGCCAACGCCGTGGGAGTGGCTTGGAAAATGGTTGACGCCCAGGCTCACCGTCTCGGATCCCAGAGTGTTGCCAAGCGCATCTGGAGTTGCAAAATTGGGAGTTTTGTAGAAAAGGGCAGATTTGCGACAAGGGAAGGAAGACCCCGTCGTCAACTTTGCCCTTTGCTTCGTGCAGCGCTTCCCATACGGTGCGCATGTCGATCGTAGTGGGTCCTTCTGAAGCGAGCCCACTCAGAGAGCTGAGCCTGTTTTTGACGATCTAGGCGAATACGGTCCTTGTATGACCACTAGATCCACGTACGGATTCAAAATTTCAGTGGAGCTAAGGAACTATGCAGCGAACCGGATCACAGACTCGTTGCTACCTACAACTTTGTCAAAGTTTCAACTCGGACTGCACAGAAGGCAACTAGCACAGGGAGCTGTCGCAGCTAACAAGGGTCGCTAACCTGCTTCTATCCAGACCCTCACAAGAGCAATCTGACTAGCGACCTAACCAGGTGTGTTTAGCTGTGAAAACCTCTTCCAAACTGCATCGAGCCTGGTATTGACCTCGAAGATAGGGCTGGAAGTGATTGAGCTGATTTTACTCACAGCCTCCTGCACCTCCATTGTGCTCAATCGTACGGCCGCGCATGTCTGGAACGGCGAAAGTACTGACGCCATTCCCGCCTTAGGCAATAAGGATCAAGGGGTTAGCGTCCTCTGTTAATAACACTGGTCATGCATCGTGCAGTCTTACAAAGACCACTCTTGCCGCTTTTATACGCATTTTCTGAAGCGCAGGAGACACTGCCAAGAAGGTCGCGTTCTAGCTTTGCTGCTGACGCATGTGCCAGCTCCGAGGCCTCATGTAAACTAGTTTTTGATTAAGCTGCCTGTGACCAGACTTGTCAAGGTGCCTGCAGCATTTTGGCATATCTGTGACCGGATTGGGTTACACTTAGGTTAGTGTGCGATGCGTTCATCTTTGCTGAGAAACGTATTGCATGTGCAAAGCACTTGAAAGATGCCCCAGTCCCTCAAGGCTCTGATCGAATTTGCTCCTTCCAACATACAAACACTCCAAAGGGCGGTGTGCTGGCTGAAAGGTTATAAGCACCTGAGCGGAGCTTCAACAGGCCTCCTTTGATACCGTCGTGTGATCGTTCTGACTCAGATCAAAGTGGATGCAAGAAAGGTTTAGCCAAACCGCAGCGCACAACCTCACATAAGCCATTCAGCCTTAACAGGTGACGCCCCCCTGGGTAGAGGAACTCCACTCAATAGAGTTAAGATAACGCTCGTGTAGCAAATACAGGAAATAGGTCACCATATTGTGTGCCGATAAGTCGAAACAAATCTCCATACTCGGCAATGCTCAGCAAGCGCCCATCGAGAGGGGCGAATCCGCGTGGCGTAAAGGGGAAGGCGAAGCAACATACCTCCCCAATGTACGGGTTTTCTCCACCTGTGATTGCGGGCTGGGTTTGTTACACTGATTTACGTTGTTGACAGGCGGTTACAATGTGTCAAGGAGGTTGAAGGTCTTGCGGATTGTTACGAGCTTGTGCGACCATCGGTTTGCTAGGGACCATGTACGAAGACGTACTGATGTGAAGTAAGGCCTTGTTGAATGAGACATCATGAAGATCTTGCAAGTCCCGTGAAACAAAGGATCTCAACATTTGACCACCGTATATAACACTCGGAACTTCATCAGCAATATAGGAAGGTCAGCCGGTTCTTTCACGCTGTGAAGGTCCATCTACTCTTTCATGCTGACGGGGTCGCTCAAAGTGGCTTGTCTAATGTTGATGACAGTCTGTTTAAGCACCTTGTTCGGGGCCGTGCAGTTGAAATCAACGGTCTCCTTCTCAAAGATGCCTTTGCAATTGCAAGCCACCTGGTGAGCCTTGGCTCCCAAAGCACTGATCTCTAAGAAGCTGGCCACACCGTCAGTCAAAAGACCCAAGCACGCGTCAGATGGAGCCTCACATTCAGCTCCAACCAGCATCTTTTCTGGTGAGAAGACCCCCAGGCCGAGCAGCGTAGCACATATGAGTCTCCTCCACACTTTCCAGCTGGGGGGCCCAATGTAACAGGCCATTTTGTAGTCTGCTGCTTTTGCCTATATCACGTATTGCGCCACAAGCTCAAACTATTGGTCTGCTTTGAAATAGCTGCTGGGAATGGATCTTTTTGACGAAGTGCTGCTTCCAAAGACTCCTGCCACACCCAGAAAAGCGGGCCCTGAGAAAAGCATCAAAGATGGGTGGGCCTTCCCTAAGACTGTGTGGTGGACCCTATGGAGGTGATGATGGAGAGAAGCCAGCTGGGTGGCTCCGAAACTCAGACGCTGGACCTATTAATCAAGAGCATCATTGATGCAGCAGGATGCACACCCACACACAGCAGCTAATCAATAGTGACCGGCACATAACCACATTGCTTAAGCAGGAGACAGGCCGGCAGTTCCGCGGCACCTGGACTTCACAGCGTCGTTGGCGCGACGGGCTGGGTGCAGAGTAGCTATGAAAACGGAGGAAACTTGGTTGTCCGATGCCTACTACTGCCTAGATGTTGCAACAGCTTGTAAGCAGCCGCCGCTTCCTTCAGTGCCTTCAGCTTCAGCGGCAATGTGATGTCCAAGCAGAAGCGCTTTCATGCAAAAATGCACGCACAACGTGAATGCCTGTGGCGATGAGAAGATGATGGCGCCAGGCTGCCCTCAAGTTCCTTGTGTGCACGAGCTCCCAACTCCGGACTCGCGGCCGCGGCGACCCTCCTCGAGAATCAAATTTGGTCCCGGTACTCAATAGGTACCGATGTCAACAGCGTACAGAGTCAGCGCGTACACACAGTAGTAAGTACCGTACCGAAGGTACCGTACGAAAATACCGGTACTGTTATAAAAATCATACGGATTTTGTGCCTGACAGCCCACAAGTTGGCCACAGCTGTACAGCCGCCAGCGAGTACAAACCGAGGGCGGCGGGACGCCGCGGGAGAGCGGCAGGGCCAGAACAGTCTGCCACATGTGGGTTGGTTTAACCGGTACGCAACGTGTGCGTGGACAGTACAGCGAGGACTCGCCGAGGAGGCAGGACGGTACCTGAGCTGGTATGCCGTCCGTACGCCGCTTTGTTGACGGTACATAATCAGTCATTGTGGGAGAGGTAGCTACAGGCGCAGAGGCGCAGA